TCTTACCACTTTATTAAAAACTGATATACGTAATGAATTTGACGATTACTTCTTCAACCTATGATAATCATTAAGTTTGTCCCAAAATTTTTACTCTCATACTAAATTACGGGTGGTATTATAAGCCTGTGCGACTAAATACCACCTTCCTATCAATTTCAGCCGCGAAACAGCCATGCAGGTGCATGTCAATAGGATTAACTGTTAAACTTTATAATTAGGACTCCGACCTTATGCCCAAGGAAAGGGACAGCGTTCACATCATAATTTGTATAGGTTGGGGTAACCATTTAAAACCAAGTGAGCCGTGAATTTGTGTACCTTACTAAAGCAATGAAAAAATACAAATCATAGTGTTTAGTTGTAAGTCTGAAGTCGTCGTGGCCTAACGGATAAGACGTCCGGCGCATTCGTGTTGAGCGATGCACCGGTGTTCGAATCCCGCAGGCGGGTACCAATTTTTCTAATTAAATACGTACTCGACAAATGTTCACGATTGACTTTCACGGTGAAGGAATAGCATCGTGTAATAAAAATCGAACCCGCAAAATTATAATTTGCGTAATTACTGGTGGTAGGACCTCTTGTGAGCCCGCGCGGGTGGGTACCATCACCCTGCCTATTTCTGCCGTGAAGCAGTAATGCGTTTCGGTTTGAAGGGTGGGGCAGCCGTTGTAACTATACTTGAGACCTTAGAACTTCTATCTCAAGGTGGGTGGCGCATTTACGTTGTGGATGTCTATGGGCTCTAGTAACCACTTAACACCAGGTGGGCCGTGAGCTCGTCCACCCATCTAAGCAATAAAAAATAATAAAAAAGTTGTAAAGTTAGTTTTTTTTCCTACCTAAGCTGATAGCCTTAAGAGGCTATTTCAGCGTAACCTTAACTAGTAGGTGAGCTCGCGGGGCTCAAACCTGACGACGTTGCTAACACGAACCCTAGCAAGAGCCGTGCTTCGCAGATTGTACCACCGTATCGGAAATCTCTACCCACTGAGAAGATCCGGCGAGAAACTCAGTGAGCTGTGTCTGTGGGTTAATTTACTCGTCGAGCCGGAGGTTAGTTTTATATAGGTAGTTTTAGTTCACTGTTTGTCTTCCAAATAAAATAAAATAAAGTAAAATAAAATAAAAATACTAAACACTATTTAGTGCAAATGAGTTTGCCGGCAAACGCATACATTAAAGTTTACTTATAAAATATCACGCTACTCACGTGATCAAAAGTCTAGGTACAGATGGTCTTGGCCTTCTGCCATACACCTGCAGTGACCGTCTCGGCGGAGGCGATGGGATGTCCAAATACACCAACTCTGGATCTACAAATAAATTAATAAATCTTTCGTTTTATTTTAATGCTTTTGACGTTTTGGCTAAGGTGTAAGCTCGTTCATTCACTGCATGTTTTTCGTGGAAATCTAGCATAGATTAACAGAGTTATTTGTAGATGTCAAATATTTGGCGCCAATTATTATTATGTCTCTGTTTTTCTTTCTAGAATTGTTTAGCTTGCTTTGTTAATAGAACCAAACACTGTTTCATAATAATTACTAGGAGGCTGCAAGCTGTGAGTATTCGTGAACACATTTCGCATTACGAACCTGCTTGAGATTTTTTTAAAGCTGCAATGGTTTCTAATTACCTGCGTGTAGAGCTGTGCTCTAGCCCTTTACATATATGTTACATATAGGTTTTCCCGATCGGGTAGAAGGGCACAGTAAAAGTAGGTACTATTCTTGAATAGTAAGTACGCATCTATTGCCTTCAAAGAGAGATGAGGACACGACCTATCTGATGGTGAGTGGTTACCATCGCTTATAGACATCAGCAACGCTAAAGGTACAATTATAAACGTTGCCTACGTCTGTTAAATAGATTGAAGACAATGAGCATGCCAAAGCACAGTCTAAATAATAAATATATATATATTTTTAATAAAATTAATAAAGTAAGCCTATATTTTAATTGAAACCTGATTTGGAATTCTCATTGAAAGGTTTGATATATCGGTGGCCATAAAAAGTTGATTCGTTCTTTACATTCACAGCCAAGAACAGCAGAAGTGTTATTAAGCGGCCCACTGGCTTATTTACTGTTTCTAAAGAAGCATGCATTCTATTTCTTAGAATTCTTAGTTGGTAAATTAACGTTTGATACTAGCATTTAATTAATGGCCGAACACGTACCATGCTCGAATATTTCACAAATCGCAGCATCTGATACGGATCGACCGCGCGTTCTTAAATTAGGTCGATCTTTTTTGAAGTAGGACCAGTGACGCGCCACCGATGAACGCAGGAGACGATTGAATCTACGAAACAAGAATTGACAATCAGTGGAAGAATAATTAATGACTTAATATAGTATTACCGATAATTGCAAAAATCAAAAGAATGAAATTTGATATCCTAATATAATTCTTGAGAATTTGACATTTGTCGATTAAGAATGGGTCTGCAGTTTTGATTTTTATTATACCTTATTCCTGATCCCGCGCGTGCGTACATAGGTATTATATTGTAAATAAACCCTGGCACTGATGACTGAATAAATATACATTGAACGTCTTACCCATCACGTCAGGGACGCTACAAACAGTTATTTGGACTCATCTAAAAATTTAAAATATTGTACTTCTATGACGATAATATTTCGCATTAATTGTAATTAGTTTCAAAATTTGGTTTCGCGTGTCTAACTCAGTTTTGTGCATATTAATATTACACCAATCCTGTTATTCATTGCTAATAAAACATTTATCAAATTCATCATTTTGAAATCTCATGCATATATTTTTAGTATTTAGTTCAAATATTACCTAAGTGTACGTCGTTTTTTAGATACTTCGGTCTGTCGTATACTTTATGAAGCCGTGTGATGTAAGGGACTGTTCACCCGATCTATTTATCACAAGTTGACCTTCACCTAAATACTTCTATCATTCGATCACTGACTCGTCATTTGTACACTTTCAATGTTACGTTAATTTCAGGCAGGTATATAAACAAAACTATTTACTATTACAATGTAATTAAAATCGGCTTTTATTATTCGTTTATTTATAGCTCGAAGAGTTCTAGATTGCAAACATGTTCGAATTAACCACATAATTTTTGTTGTATCACTAATGTGGAGATATAAATACGATATGTACTTACTTACTAGTGTTAGGACGTCTTTTGAGTCCGCACGGGTAGCTACCACCACCCCGCCTATTTCTGACGTGAAGCAGTAATGCGTTTCGGTTTGAAGGGTGGGGCAGCCGTTGTAACTATACTGAAACCTTGAACTCATATCTCAAGGTGGGTGGCGGCATTACGCTGCAGATGTCTATGGGCTCCGGTAACCACTGGGTATCCACCAGACGGGCCGTGGGTTCGTCTATACCCCTATGTAATAAAAAAAAATGTTTTTATTTAGCACCGATGATTTGAAGTTTATTATGCTGCGCTTTAGTATTGGTGATATGTGCATTTTTTTGTTATTATTTTTAACCTACCTATTCGCTAATAGCCTATTGCAGCCACGCCTGGAAGGGTAGGGGTGGCTCGCGGGCTCAACCTGAGAGATATTGCTAGCACTGGCTAGGGCTAGTGGCAAGGGCAGTGCTTCGCAGAATCTACCACCGGATCGGAATACCGACCCACCGAGAAAATCCGGCGAGAAACTCAACAGCCTCATGAGCATTGCTCACCAATCACCGTTAGACGAATGCGCATATTAAATCAATAAATAAATGCGCTCAAGTTTGAAGAGCGCAACAGGCGTTTCAACCAAACACTTGCTTCAATCCTATATCTTTATGGACAAGGGTGGCTTTGTAATGACCGCTTGAAAATAAATAGCAAGCGGCTTGGCTCTGCCCCTGGCATTGCTGAAGTCCATGGGCGACGGTGATCACTCACCATAAGGTGGGCCGTATGCGTGCCTGCCTACAAGGGCAATAAAAAAAAATTTACCGTGAGCTCTTAAACTCGTCTTACCTAATTCAATAAACTCACCTCTTTAATGGCGTATCACAAATTTCCGAAGACGAACTCGTTGACGTTGAAGAATCGCTACCGCTTGTCGCATGTTTATAAACCACACAACTAACGCTCTTACGAATCATTGCACTTACGATATCAGTTAATTCAAAGTCAACTCGCTAAAATACTTAAACAAAACTAGTCCACAAAACGATGTACTGATTTCAAATAAACAAACCCGATTGTATGAGCATCACGATTTCTTATGAAATACTGAATTTCGTTCGTATGGATGATGTTCAAACGAAAGTTTGTCACTCGCGTCTATATATAAACTAACCAGAGACCGGTGGCGCCCGCGCCGCTCCTCCATAAGATTTTGACTCATCGGCAATTAGATTGAAAAAATCGGTCAATTTGCATGTTCCGGAAAGATTCGTAAACAAACCACGATTTCAAAGTATGCGCTGAAAGTATGGAGCATTATGACTCATTTTAGACAAATTCACTGTTTGTTTACTCATTTTTAAAACTGTTGCATGTTTCCGAATGAAATTACAACATGTGTTTTGAAGTCGTCGTGGCCTAAAGGATAAGACGTCCGGTGCATTCGTATCGAACGATGCAACGGTGTTCGAAACCCGCAGGCGGTTACCAAGATTCTAATGAAATACGTACTTAACAAATTTTTATGATTGACTTCCACGGTGAAGGTATAACATCGTGTAATAAAAATTAAAGCCGCAAAATTCTAATTTGCGTAATTACTGGTGGTAGGACTTCTTGTGAGTCCGCCTATTTCTGCCGTGAAGCAGTAATGCGTTTCGGTTTGAAGGGTGGGGCAGCCGTTGTAACTATACTGAGATCTTAGAACTTATATCTCAAGGTGGGTGGCGCATTTACATTGTAGATGTTTATGGGCTCCAGTAACCACATAGCATCAGGTGGGCTGTGAGATCGTCCACCCATCTAAGCAATAAAAAAATTTTAAAAATGTGTTGAGAGAAATAAAACAGTCGACACATTTATATTTCATGTATTCACTAAAGTATACATACATTTGAAATCTAACAATAAAATTATTTTATATTATAAACATATACACTAACATGAAGAAGTATCATCCTTAATATTGTTTACAACGCTGAAGTTTGTAAAAACATTTTCAGGTTAAAACTTTCGAAAGTATTGAAGCTATTACCTACTTAAATTACCGGTATTCAATCGTAAACGAATTATAAATCCCAATTATTACATTTAGATACGCGGAGATCGCATTACATATTTAAGAATTAAAAAACTTAAAATCTCGTATTTTACTTCAAAACTTTTAATGAGCTCTAAACAATCGTACCACATTTTTTATTTATTTACGCCACTAACAATGTCAACATAGTACCGGACTGTTCTTGTAATGATTATCAATGATCATCAAAAATGCTGCGTAAACTTAATAGAACCCAGCCCTGCACAACTTCACCACGTGTGACGTCATTCGGGGTCAAAATAAGAAGCCAGCTGAACATAGACTACAATCAATTATTTGATTTGGAATATAATTCAGGACACTCACTTTTGCGACAATTAGAACAAAAAATGACAATTCCATTTAACGTGTCTTGCGAATTTTAAACATTTTTAATTTATAAGTACCTATTGGCAAGGGCAAGTATTAACATGTAGTCTTTACTGACTTAAGTTAATGGTAGCTAACTAACCATCGATTTGATTACATTTCGGAATGACAAAATATGAGCAGACATTTTAATAATAAAAAATATATATTTCAATTTATGGAGAGATAACTAAATTAGACTCAAATCGACATAGTCCACAAAAATAGTAGACTGTACAATTAATTTAATTAAATTGACATACAATTATTTTTAAAATTGTGTTCCATTAGTGCCCCTTGTCTTTTATTGATTACAAACACTCGTATTAATACAATAACTTTCCCCAGAAGTTATTAAAAAATAAAAATATACAGCCCAGTTTCGAATTTAAAACTACCCCAAATTTAAAGTAACGCTACACCGGCTAATTTCAAGCACTTTACACATACAAATCACATTTACAAAACAAAATTACAACAAATATATTTCTTATCCTAAATAATAATTAGGACTATGATTTAATATTTCTTCAATCCTTAAGTGACCCATTTTTTTTAAAACATATATTTAAAAAAAATATTAAAACAAAATTTTAAACATATTATGTACTTAAAATAGTCGCTTTCGCCAGTCATCGTCGTAATTAAAATTACTCTTACGAATAGTTTACGGTTTTCATGGTAGCAGACCAAAAAAACGAAACTTCAGTGATTATGAAATCAAAACAATAAACAGACCCAGATCAAACCCTAAAATTAGATTTAAATGTATTTGAAAACGTTGAGTTGTTGAAACAACAGAACAAGTGATTACGCAGCCACTTTTAATATAAATCAGGATATTTATTTCACTATTTTGTAAGCATTCCTTTCAATGTAACAATGTTTTCGATAATATTTAGAAATACATAATGGTCTATCTATGGTCTATGGACTAATCTATAGCACAAATAATAAGTATTTCAAAGAGTTCTTAATAATATGGTCTGCGTGGATTATTCTGAAACAAACAATACTAAATTAAAATAAAGTAATCTAATAAAGATGCGGGGGTAAAACCAAATTGTAAATATTACATTCGGTTTTGTTCTGGTTTTTTGAAAAATCATTGAAATTCTCATTCATAAGTCAATGTGTGACTTATATTCTAGTCTATAGACTCCGATAACAACTCGATAATTCCTGCTAGGCTACTCATTTAAGCAAATCTATATATAATATATATAAATGAATTACTGTTCGTTAGCCTCACTAAAACTCGAGAACGGCTAGACCGATTTGGTTAATTTTGGTCTTGAATTATTTGTGGAAGTCCAGAAAAGGTTTAAAAGGTAGATAAATATGAAAATGGTCGGAATTAAATAAAAATAACAATTGTTTTTTCTTTGATGTGTCCTCCGTCGCGTCGAACGGATTCCTTTTGTTTGTTTTGAGTTTATTTTATACAAAAGTTTAGATCTTTTATTTATCGATTGAGGCACTACGAAGTCTGCCGGGTCAGCTAGTTATAAAATAAAAAATATATATACGTCATTTCAAAATATTAAAATACACACGCCTTAGCTTAGCTAATCGAAACTAATTTTAATTCTGACCGGATAATGGGATAAAGTAATAAAATAATTTTATTGCCACCAGTACTTGATTCGTGTGCCAATTTTCAAGTTACACATGTACAGGTCAAACTAATAAAAAAGCGTTTAAAGACGTAATCAAACTTTTGACTTATCAGGCAATATTATATCTTTATCTTTCGAATTCATAGCGCCCAAAAACATTTACTACCAATCGGGTTTTAGGACTTATCGTAGTGTCGGAACATGGGAAGATACCATAGTCTTGCCATGAACAACTTCTGAGACTTCGAGTTCGGTGTGCGAGTTAACTTCTCGATCGCGTAAAAGTTAACTCAAATTTATATGGAGTTGCAACAGCGTTCCTACGTTTGCCGCTAGGGGCGCTGCTCTTACTTAAGACTATGGCCGTGAGCTCATCTGCCGATCTAGATCAAGGATAATTATAATTTTTGTCATTACTTAGATGGGTAAACGAGCTCACAGCCCACCTGGTGTTAAGTGGTTAAGTGGAGCCCATAGACGTCTACAACGCATTATTGCTTCACGGAAGAAATAGGCGGGGTGGTGGTATCAACCCGCGCGGGCTCACAAGAGATCCTATCACCAGTAATTACGCAAATTATAATCTTGCGGGTTCGATTTTTATTACACGAAGTTCTTCCTTCACCGTGAAAGTCAATTGTGAACATTGTTAAGAACGTATTTTATTAGAAAAATTGGTACCGAAATTGGATTCGAACACCGGTGCATCGCTCGACACGAATGCACCGGACGTCTTATCCTTTAGGCCGCGACGACTTAATACATATGAGGCCGGCAGCGGAAAACTGGCCTTACCCGCAATTTTTCAATTTCATGCTTATATGTACATATATTGCAATTTATTTAAAACATAATAAATTTTGATGCAAAACCGCCCTATCCCTAGTTTCACCCATAGGTAACTGATGGCTTTGTAAACATTATTTTTGTGGCGTTTTACCTACGTGCTTGCAGTGTAAAAGTAAATTAAAACCTCATTATCTCTATTCTAAATGTGGTCAGTTTAGACCGCTTTTGGGCTGACGGCCTCATATATCTAAAGATAATATAGCTTTACCAATGGATTAGGTCGGAATCTGTAGGCGAGCATCATCCGTTTCCTGTACGCGTCGAACTCGTCGTCGTCGGGAGACACCACATCCGAAGTGGACGCGCCCAGTCCTAGATTCTGTACTGGTTGTTTCGCCCTGAAAAGACAAACCATATAATTTTATATCTAATAATAATAATTTACATAATATCTACATTTTGACTAGGGTTGCCACCTTTTTTTTTGCAGATAAACTAAATTGGTGATTATAGGTAGGAAAAAAGTACATAGTATTATAATAAAGTACAATTTACATTTAATTATTATTATGCATAAATACGTTATTTTTATTACAATAATAATTGAACAAATTAAACAAGAAATTGAGACAATGTGTAATGACAGTGACATTGTTGACATTTGAGGTTAAGTTGCGTTCAGAAATAGTTGTTATAAAAAGAGTGCCTTAAGTGATGTGACGTTGGCGAGTAGCGACATCGATTGAGCAATCGATGTAATTCGCTTACAAAAAAAAAAATATGACTTAACTTTTCAAAATCCCAAAGAAACAAAATAATGCCAAACAAATTTCGTGTACTATATTGTTCACATAAAGTATAGAGTACAATTACCAGAAATTAAGTACTATACTTTATTATAAAGTACGAATGGCAACCCTAAGGGTGACAAAAATTGCAGAGCGGACAACGACACACTTCTGATGCAATACACTAGCAATCAGTTGACCGACGCCTGATTTAAAGGGTTTCCCGGAGATCATAGACAACATAAATGCTGCAGTTCACCTTTAGACATAAACTGGAAATCTCAGTTGTGTTATATAACGGCTGTCCAACCCCTCAAACCGGAAGGCGGGACTTCTTCGCGGCACAAATACACAGGATTGTGGTTATTACGCAAATTTACAAAATTTGCGGGATTTACTTAAATGAAATTGACTATGCATTTACAACTTTCTTTAACATCGTTAGAATAATGTATTAGGCGCTGAGAAAAATCAGTTATATATTTTATTAGATTTTAAGACAAATACAGTTCACTCACTTGTTGATAGGTTCCACGATGCCTGAACCTTCTACGCCGAGACCTTGACCCTCATTCCATCCAAGCTTCTGAAGCATTTTAAACCCTAAAGCAAATTATTATTTTTAGCATTTTAGTATTCGTTCCTATTTATTTAAATTTAAACATAACAGATATGCTTTTGTCTATACTAATATTATAAAGAGGAAAGATTTGTTTGTTTGTTTGTTTCGAATAGGCTCCGAAACTACTGGACCGATTTGAAAAATTCTTTTTCCATTAGAAGCCGACATTGTCCCTGATGAACATAGGCTACTTTTTTTTAAATTTTTTTTATTATATTTTTTTGGTTTCATGTGTGTTTTAATGTTTCCGAAGCGAAGCGAGGGCGGGTCGCTAGTCGTTCATAAATTCAAAACAAAATAGTGTTTAAAAACTTTAGCAATAAATAAATATTTACGATCTTATTCGTAATAAAACACTTATCGTTAAGATACATACAGGTTTTAGTGTAACATAATTCCTTAATAATTAATAGCCTTATACATAATATAATAAGTTATCAAAGCTTTAGAAGGCCATTACAAGAGTTGTCAAGAAGTGCAGTCTAGTGAATATAGTCTCAAATTTATTGATATAATTAATATATTTTTCATGACACATTCTTAGCACAGTCATGGTATGGCACGATGTGGTAGACATTTAATGTGTACTCACCGACATTATCTTCCTTCAGCTTGAACTCTTTATAATCACTCAGGTCTGGCTCTTTACCATTTTTCAAAGCTGAATATTTTTCCATGAATCTGTAATTTATCATAAATGTTATAAAAAATTATAATGTTATTTCTTTGGACATGCATAAGACAAAACGGACTTGAAATATGTATTTTCGATCTAGAAATTAAAAATAGTAAAATTTTGATTAGATTTTACAAGGGCAGGCGAGTTTATAACCCACCTGGTGGTGTGGTTAAGATATAGTGTTTACCGATTTTGACATGTCGATGGACTTGACAAAGTGACAAGACAATAGCATCAAATGTCTTGATAGTATCAGATAGAAGGAGGAGGAGTATACATTGTAATGTATTAAAAGTTATGTCCTCTTGAACTGGAGTTACAGCTTCATGACAGAGAATGATCTTACTTTTTCAATTCCTCCGGAGGCAGGAAATCTCCAATGTGATGTTTACCAGCGGCCTGCCGTGTTAATTCATCGGCCCACTTCTCCGTAGCAAACATTTCTTTAGCACGCAATCTGTCAATAAAAAAATCATGACGCTATACTAATTAAAAATTTTGCATTCACAACCTTTTTCATTTCAAGAACCTAAAAATATGAAACTCGACAAAACGGATATGAAACTGGAAAAGGGACACCAACAAAGAGAGACCGACATATACATCTATATAGCATCTGGAGTGCGAGAGAATGAGATAGAATAGTTCTAAAGGTTTCTACGGCGTGTCACCTGAACTCGTTTTATTTATTTATTAGAGCAATTATCTAATTTTCTGTACATACTTATGTTCCCAGGTACCGTCTGTTGTGTCCTCGTCGCTGTCGTACTCATATTTGTGTTTTCCGGCGGCAGCAAGACGTTCGGCCTCTTGGCGTTTCTTTAGCATATCCTATTAGAAAAAAAAAACAAAAAACAAAATTCAAGCACATCTGTACCGGCCGAGCCGTCGCAAGCAAAAACGAACCTTAGAGTTTTTGGCGGGAACGCGAGGAATGAAGTTGTGTGATTTGTTTTATTTTGTCTATTTAGTGTTTCTTCAGTTTTAAATGTGTAATAACGGTGGTTTATTAACTATTTAATATCTGTGAAAGTGCACAAATGTGGGAAAATGAAACAAAGTCGCTGGACGTAACCTCTTGGTATCCTTCAAAAGGTCCACTAAAAAAATTGCAGTAGTTAACCACCATTTTACTGAGATTATACTTTATTCCATATGAACTCATCACATTTCATTTCATTTCATAAAATTAAAATAAGACATGACTTAAAGGTCTTAGTTACCAGGTCATAAAATCTTTTTAAAAAAAAAAAGCAAGCAAAAACGAACCTTAAGAAGGTAGGTAGATTTTTTTATCATTATTTACTATACAGAACCAAAACTCTTACCTGATACAGTAAATTTAATTTGAAATTATCTTCGCATTGTTTCCATTCATCTGGATTCAAATTCGTACGTCCGTAGTTAGTCATCGCGTACTGCATCAAAGCTTGATTGTTCCGATTCACGGTCGTTAACTTCACGCCTTCTTCGTCGATCTTTGCCAACTTCGGACCTAAGCAGTCGGTTTAATAATGACTTGTGATAAAGTGAAGGTCAAGCGATTCGGTAAGGAAAATAAACCAAGTAATGTTCATACATAACAATACAAATTTAAGTGTTTTCTCAGTAATAATTACAAACCACAGTGACTAGACTAGCACATTATAATTAAGTTTGTTGGTGACAAAGCGATTAGAAGTAGGTGAAAATTGAACATAAGTAAAACTCATGAAAACAGTTGAGTGAAATAATTTTTATTTAACCGATGATCTTTTTTTTTGTTATTGCTTTGATGTGTGAACGAGCTCACAGCCCACTTAGTGTTAAGTGGTTACTGGAGCCCATAGACGTCTACAACGTAAATGTGCCACCCACCTAGAGGTATAAGTTCTAAATTCTCAAGTATAGTTACAACGGCTGCCCCGTCCTTCAAACCGAAACGCATTACTGCTTCACGGCAGAAATAGGCAGGGTGGTGGTACCTACCCGTGCGGACTCACAAGAGGTCTTACCACCAGTAATTACGATCATGAAATCAATGTAAACTAACCAGTAGACATGTGTAAGTACTGTGTGTCATGCAGTACGCGCAATATAGCACGACCGCGTACTATAACAGTACCTATTACCCGGCAAAATTTAGCATGTCACATAACACTAAACATGACGTTCATATCCAAAGAACATTTCATTGTTATAAAAAGGTCGGTTCATATCTAGAGGTCCGTTGTCCGTTGCATTCTGGTCTAAGTACTGTAACATTGTATATGTAAAAAAAAAAAAAGTGGCTATTATTTACTATTTATAAGTTGAAACTAAAAATGTTAACATTAAATTAATTTTATTTATACATTTGAAAAAATCTAAAGTAAACTTGTATAGAGTTTACTTGGTAATAATAAAAGGTCTTTAATATCTGACACCCGAACATTCAGTACAATAAGACATACGTAATTGTTAGCGGGCTATACAAATTAAACAATACAGGCATATGTCTGACATATTATTTTGTATTACAGTACAGGCATATGTATTAGATTGAGGTAGGTACCGAGTACTCTTCTAATGCCATATTACGCGGTACGAAGTGTCATGCCATATGGCATTACTTCATACAGTACTGTTTTACGCATGTCTACTAACCAGGTAGTATATTCGGGGGCATCGGAGCGATGACGCCTGGCGGTTTAATGTCGGCCGGCGGTGGTTCGTCACTCCATCTTGATTTCTTTTTTCTCCTTCGCTCCCGTTTGGCCTCCGGCTCCTCGTCGCTTTGCGAGCTCGCTTCGCGCTTGTATTCTCGATTTTTGTAATCCACCAAGCTGCTGTAAACAAAAACATAAAAATTTGTGTTAGATTTGAGGAAGTTCCCTATTTACTCTAAATTTTTATAAATATTTATTTCAATAAGTAAATTATTTCAATAAAGTTTAAAGAAAAACCATTATTTATAATAATATAATATCTAGTGATGCACACAAAAATTCATTCTCGAATACGAGGGACACAATTTACCTATTTATATGTATATTATTTTTATTTATACTATATTTCAGTTTCTTTTTTTAAAACCATAGCATTTTGTTAGTAGGGATTACTTAAAATCTATGTTAGTAATTTAAAAAAAAAATCTTACACATAACTACCATTACATACATTTTATATCATTACATTTGTTTTTTTTTGCCTTCGAAGTGCCTGCTGCAAAGGCTATTAATCAGCAGTCCCTCGATAATGTATAATAATATATATTAACTAGTTGTTACCCGCGATTTCGTCCGTGTGGTCAAGGAAATTGAGTCTAATTTCCCGTAGTATTAAGGTGTTTTTTGCCTCAACACGGACAAACAATCACACTTTCACATTTATAATATTAAGTATGAATATGGATGTACCTTATTTATGGATTTTATGTGTGCATTTACCTGTCTTGGCTTTCCTCTTTGATACGTCTGTTATCACCGCTGTCATCGTCCTCCAAACTGAATTCCGGTTCGTACTTATCTTCGGGTTTAACAACAGGCTTCTTATCGAATCCCTTCCTTATATTATCCACTAACTCCCGAAACATCTTGTATTCCTTCGAGTCTGTGTTATGGAGGATCCTGCAAAATAAAACTCAATACAATGTTGAGTTTATTGGGGAAAAACATTCAAAAAGGATGCGTCTGTACGGTCTGTTGATCTGAAAAGCGAACTGGAATTTCTCTGAACGTAATTCCATCGTAGAGTTGAAACGAATGTCCAACAATTGTGCGAAACCTGATTTTTGCATTGTAATTTTAGTAACGTATTTCTGGGTCAAATTAAATCGGGATCGAATAATTAATTTAAATACAAAAACCAATCTTTAAAAAGAATTTTATTAATTCAAGAATGGTTTTTCTTCTTAATTTTTCCGCTTCCGTTTGTCAAATAATTTAATTTGATATACTTATTTATGGTGCCTTACGGATTAATCGTAAAATTTTCAGACAAACCGCTCTCTGCATGTAATCGAAGGCGGTTAAGGATATAACCGGAATATTACATTTTATACTTTTTGTTGTTTGCATTACCAGTTTGATTCTATAAAGCCTTCTAGTATGTGGAATATATTTTTGGAATCGAAAAGATGAAAAATATACGGTTTGAGAATAACAATAAAACCACTATTATCTTTAAAACGCCATCATCGACTTCCTTTAGAAAACAGAAGATTCACAGTATTTTAATGACTTTGTTTTTCAAAGTAGGTTCTAAGGGCCCGTAATGGTACGGAGCAACTTTGCCAACATCCTAGCACCTCAGACGCTCTGTATCATATATTATTACGATAAACTGTGAAATGTAACAACTACTAGGCTGCACTAAAAGTATCGGGAATGGAATATTTCCACTGTTCCTGTCATATTAAAATCTTTTTAATTGAAAACTCCTTGGTTTTAAAAATCGAATACCATTTATTTATTTAAAAAAAGATTCTCGGTCTTGTCACGAGGTTTTGTCAAACTTGTTTAGTCGTTGAGAAAATGGAATTGACTCGAGAAAATTCAAGAGCGATGATTTATTATGACTTTCGAAGTGGTTTAACACAAAAACAGTGTGTTGACCGGATGATTTCTGCATTTGGTGATGAAGCCCCATCCAAAACCACAATTTATCGCTGGTTTGCTGAGTTTCAACGTGGACGTGTCAAGCTCAGTGATGATCCCCGTCAAGGTCGTCCAAAAACTGCAGTCACCCAAGAAAACGTTGATGCTGTGCGTAAGCTGATTGAGGAAGATCGACATGTGACATACCGCGAAATTCAGGCAACTTTAGACATTGGCATGAGTCAAATACAAATAATCTTGCATGAACAATTAGGTGTAAAAAAGTTGTTTTCCCGATGGATACCGCATTCGCTCTGTGAAGAGCAAAAAGCGGCTCGCGTTACTTGGTGCGTCAGAACTCTCGAAAGATTCCACGCAGGATCCTCAAATGCTGTATACAACATTGTATCAGGTGACGAATCCTGGATATACGCGTACGAACCCGAAACAAAAAACCAGTCACGAGTTTGGGTGTTCGAAAATGAGTTAAAGCCAACAAAAATTGTTCGTTCACGGAGTGTTGCAAAAAAAATGGTGGCCACGTTTGTCTCCAAAACCGGCCATGTTACGACTATTCCTCTTGAGGGACAAAGAACGGTTAATGCAGAATGGTATGCTAGCATTTGTTTGCCACAGGTCGTTTCTGAACTCCGTAAAGAGAACTGCAACCGCCGCATCATCCTCCATCACGACAATGCGAGTTCTCACACCGCGCACAGAACAAAAGAGTTTTTAGAGCAAGAAAACATAGAATTATTAGACCATCCGCCGTACAGCCCCGACCTAAGCCCTAATGATTTCTATACTTTTCCTAAAATAAAGAATAAATTGCGTGGACAGAGATTTTCATCACCTGAAGAAGCTGTGGACGCCTACAAAACGGCCATTTTGGAGACCCCAACTTCCGAATGGAATGGTTGCTTCAATGATTGGTTCCATCGTATGGAAAAATGTGTCAAATTTCGCGGAGAATACTTCGAAAAGCAATAAATACATTTTTAAATAGTAATGTTGTGTCACTTCGTTAATTCCCGAAATTTTCAGTGCCGCCCTCGTAGTATCATCAGGACCACAGGTTTTTGTATCTTCGATGGTAATCAATGAGCAGCTGTGTTTGTGCTTGTAAGCCAAGTGAAATTCAGAAACAATCCTCTTAATTAGATTTTTACGAATTATAAAATTCAGTTTGTTGTCTCAAAAATGAATGTGGAAGGCTTTATTTAGAGTAAGAGGTAGACCTAAGAGAAAATGGATAGATTGCGTGAAATACGATATGTGTAACAAGGGAGTGAGCGGAGAGATGGTATATCATAGAAGAGTATGGAAAGAATGAAAACATGTTGCGCCGGCCCCAGGTGACTGGGAGAAGGGCAGGAGAATGATGATGGGTTTACGTCTCACATTAGTTGAACACCAAATATTGATTAAATGTTGACTTTATTTCCATTTAATTTTTAATCTCACCAGTACCTATCTAATCACCATTTTTTGTTCACCATTTAAATTCCGATCAATTTTATATGAATTGTCGTCAGTTTTACTGTTTGGTATACTTTTTTTTTTTTTTTGTGTTACACATAAGTTCCTAGTAGTGAAAAATACTTCGAAAGTTATCGTTTTAGTTGATCTTGTGCCATCACAGGTTAGAATCGTCCCATCCCTACATTAAGGTCAAGTTTATGTAATTTTTTCTCGCCGTCTCGTCGCTCTATCCGTTTCAACTCTAATTCAAAATTAATTGTGTAATAATCGATATTCATGATTTTGATTCGATTTAAACTCAATTATTTCTTCTTCCAGTTCGTTTATCAGATCAGTTTACCTGAAAAGTTGTAGGAATAGTGTTCTAATGATGGTTTTCTAATACATATTTATATGCGTATAAAACCAATCTTCCGAAGCCTAAATTTAGAACCTTATTCCGTTGGCATGTGTGTGAGTAAAATGAAATGAATACGGCACGTATCCTGTAACGGTTTAACACTGGCTACCAGTGGCATTACCACAAGTATTGGTCTTGTGAGTGTATTGCTTTCAGGACATTTTCCCAGTGGTCGCCGTTGCTGGCGACTTCGTTGGCAGCCCGGTACACCGATGGCGGGAACGCATCTGGAGAGAAAACTGCACACCACGAGTCAGCATTTTGTCTAGCGTTCAGATAACACGGACTAAATAAACGAACGCTATGTACAACAACTGACTTTTTAGCGTCATGTTTTTGTTGTATTCATATTTTTTTCTTTGGTCGACATGAAATCGAGCACAGGTTGAATTTTTTTTTTCTTTCATAAATACGATTGATTTGTTATTTTAAATCGTAAAATAAGCAAAAGCTCCGAATTTTTTTTTTTTGGTTCATTTGAAATTGAATAGCATGCAATAAACGATTATTGGCGTATCAAATTAATGAAATAAAATCTATAAAATTACCTTGTGTTGCATTGGACGGTGGTGGGGGTACGTCGCCGGGATTTGTTTCTTTAGGCTTCCTGTTCTGAGGAGGTAGGGGTGGCAGTGGCGGTGGGGGGATCTTTCCCGATTCGTGAGAATTGGGGGTAACAGAATTAGGGGGCCTGAACGGCATGCGTGGTGGACAGTTTCCACTATCAAAATTTTGAGGTCCGTTTGGTCCAAAAGGCGGTCGAGGACCTCTGAAGGGCATGTTATTCATTGAGTTGGGAGGCATGGGTCCGTTTGGACCCATCATTGGGTTATGGAAAGGCGGACCGAAAAATGGGGGCATTGGCCCGTTTGGTCCCGGTCCTGGTCCCATATTTGGCCCACACATATTGGGTGGCATAGGTCCACAATGACCTCTAGGACCATTAGGGCCCATAAAGTTTGGAGGCATACGAAAATTAGGAGGACCTCCCATAAACGGAGGCATTGGACCACCTGGTGGCATCATAGGCCCACCAGGACCCATTGGACCGGGGCCTATGTTAGGCCTTGGTGGGCCTGAATTCGGTCCGGAGCCCCTCATTGGTCTTGGGCCCATATTTGTACGTGGTCCCATATTAGGGTTCGAGCCCATATTTGGTCCAGGACCCATATTAGGACCTGGTCCCATATTAGGACCTGGCCCCATATTAGGACCTGGCCCCATATTAGGCCCTGGCCCCATATTAGACCCTGGTCCCATATTAGGACCTGGTCCCATATGCTGACCAGGCCCCATATTAGGACCTGGTCCCATATGCTGACCAGGCCCCATATTAAGACCTGGTCCCATATTCTGACCTGGCCCTATATTCTGACCCGGTCCCACATTCTGACCGGGACCCATGTTCGGACCTGGACCCATATTCTGACCTGAGGTCATTTTCGGATTTAGACCCATATTTGGTACTTGGTTCATTTTCGGACCCGGGCCCATATTTGGACCAGACCCCATATTGGAAACGGGGCAAATCATATTAGGTCCCATAAAACCTGGAGGAGGCATTGGGCATGGTCCATTTGGGCCTGTATACATATTTCCTTGTTCGGAGTTAGAATCTGAGTCTCCATCAGTTTTAGACTTCCAGTTGTCCTGTTCCTCAGAATCTTTGGGTTGTCTGACAGGAAACTGCATAAGGGATGGTATAGAGTTGCTATTTATATTGTCAACAGATTCTCTTCTGACCACCACAGGAGTAATGGGACTCTGAGCTCGATTACGGCCCCTGTCGGTCCATCGCCGATATTTTTCCCTGTAATTAAGATAAGGAATTCATAAAGTTTACTATATTTAAAAAATTAATTAATTTTATAATTTACCTTATTTTACTAGAAAATAACATTAGCATTTTTAATGTAATACTTAGCATGTAATACTTTTGTTTTGTGCTTTTAATTTTGCTTAATTTTGTCTTTTTATTCATTTTCCTTATTTTATAAAAGGACATCATTTCTTTTTTTTTATTTACTGCTTAGATGGATGGACGAACTCACGGCCCACTTGGTGTTAAGTGGTTACTGGAGCCCATAAACATCTACAACGTAAATGCCGCCACCCACCTTCAGATATGAGTTCTAAGGTCTCAGTATAGTTACTACAGCTGCCCCGCTTTTCAAGCCGAAACGCATTACTCTTCACGCCAGAAATAGGCAGTGTGGTGGTACCTACCTGTGCGGACTCACCAGATGTCCTACCACCAGTAATTACGCAAATTATAATTTTGCGGCTTTGATTTTTATTACACGATGTTATTCCTTCACGGTGGAAGTCAACCGTGAACATTTGTGAAGTACATATTTCATTAGAAAAATTAGTACCCGCCTGCAGGATCCTACCACCGTTGCATCGCTAGATACGAATGCACCGGACGTCTTATTCTTTAGGCCTCGACGACTTTCAATAATTATTTCTTAAATAATTCTTTCTATAATTACAAAGTATAAAAACATCATTATTATAATCTTAACAAAATGAAATTATAGCAAGGTAAAATACCCATGGTAATATTTCTGTTACTGCTGTTTTTAATGTTTTTTTTGTCAATTCCCATTTTCAATTAACCTGAACTATCTGATTAAATGTGCAAAATTGATGACATATAAATAATTCAAATCTATAATTGGAGTTTAAAATACTGTGAAATCTGAGGTTATTGTGGCCTAAAGGATAAGACGTCTGGTGCTTTCGTATCTTGCGATTCACTGGTATCCAAATCCCGCAGGCAAGTACCATTATTTTTAATGAAATATGTATTTAACAAATCACAATTTACTGGTGGTAGGACATCTTGAGTCCACATGGGTAGGTACCACCAATCTGCCTATTTCTGCCGGGAAACAGTAATGTGTTTCGGTTTGAAGGGTGGGCCAGCCGTTGTACTGTAAAACGGAGACTGTAGAACTCATATCTCAAATGGTTGGTCAATAGCATTTTTTCACTAATTGATACTATAGAAATAAAATAAGGAACTTCACTATAGTTCTACACAACTCTTTGCTTATTAAAATATTTTTAGAGTACTTTCGTTTTGTTTCTCGGTTACATTAGCTGTTTTCTTAGTACATTAACACATTACCTTCCCCTGTCACCAGAATGTCTTCTTTGTGTGTTTGAATCTGAATTGTCTTCATCTTGTTTCTCAGGTTTCTTGACTACTTCTGTTTTGTTTTTCTCTTTCGCTTGCTTTTCTATCTCTATCTTTTCTTTTTCCTTATCTTCCTTCTCTTTTTTTTCTTGACTTTGTTTCTCAAGAAGAGCTTTATATTGACTCATGAAACTCCCATCATTGGAAAATATGTTTGCATTATTGGAATCATCTTTTGTAGAAGGGCTATAAATTAATAAATACAAAACACATATTTATAAACCATTACTGAGACTGTCAACACACAATAATCAACACATAATATGTTCAATATGTATGCTTTATGTTACTTATGACGACGCTTGCAGCTGAAAGTAAGTATTGTACTTTTTGACGAAGCATGTTGCTGATAACTTTATTTCTGTAATCTGACGAAGCATGTTGCGGATAATAACATGTACTTTTAGGTTAGGAATATTGTGTTCTTTTTTTTATAATAAATAGATATTTACTTACTACTTAAAAAAAAAATATATGTTCAATACAACAAAGAGATTAAGGATAAATATTCGATAAATAGGACTGAAAATAAAACACGAGTTAACAACAGCTGTTCTATTTTAAATGATGGAAGCTAAGAATTCTTTATATAATCACAGATCGTAGAATAAATAAAGTTAGTATTACAAACAGTCTTGAGTGTATGAGAGCAGCCACATATCGTGCTTTACATGGCAGGTTACTGTCCTCCTCAAGCTGCCTTCTGAGATAATCAACGATGGTGGTTTTAAAATCACTCCCCCTCACAAGCAACATAGACATAGATGTTGATTGCCAGAGAACTGTATTATTGCAGTGTATTTTATTGTACATACACATAAAACTCTAGAAGCAATCTACACTGAAATCCAATCAGTGTGAATCCTAACAGCAGTTAAAAAACTCTCAGCCAAACACGTAAGAGATATAAAATCCAAACAAGATTTGGTACATAGCATCCATCCGTTTAAGTTTCCATCACGTAAGTCACCAGGCATAGATCAGAGGTGTTCAGAAAAGGTACGGTCTTATTTGAGAGATCAATGACAGGATGTAATCGAAATAACAATTAATTATATTACTGGTCGTATAAGTATCATAAGTATGAACTTCATATCAGTAGGTATGTATTTTGATAACTTCAACAAATGTTGGAGTAATCAAGGATAGTCATTAATTTTCTTTTTCCGGTGGTGTTATTTGAAACAATATCTACAATATAGCTTACTTTGATAGTTTGGCTTGTGCGGCCAATGCCGCTGCCTGTTTTTGTGCTTCGACTTTAGCTTGGATCTCCATCTTTTTTTTCTCTATTATTTGCTCTTGTTTTGTCATTTGAGCCCATCTTGTACTCAAAGCAGATTTGTTCTTTACATCTTTATTTTGAATAGTGTTGTTCATGGCTGAGTCCATATAGAGTTCATGTGTCGCATGAAATGTATTACTCCTATTTTATCACCAAAACTCAGGGAGCACCATTTTGATTATTTTTGATAAGAATTTGACAGTTGACACTTGACAGTACTGGTGGTAAGGTTCTATATTTCCAAATCCAGATAGGCGAAGGTATCCTATCATGAAAACAAAGTCCTTCAACTACTCTCTTTTGCACAAACAAATATGACAAGAACTCAATCCATTTAATGTTTTCTCAATAGATAACCGTTTCCTAAAAAGTACCAATAAGACAAGTAAGTAGTCAAAGATCGAACTGAAGATTCAATAGTTTTGCGATAAATTAATTTTAAAGTCGTTTAAAAATTACAGAGAGAGAGCAAGAGAGAGAGCGAGAGAGAGAGAGACAAAGAGAGAGACAGAGAGAGAGAATACCTTTTAATGCACACCAAAACACAACTTACATTCAAAACAGTCAAAAAGCAGATAGATTTGTACAATAGGCGGTCTTATCGCTAAAAGCGTTCTCTTCCAGACAACCGTTTAATTTAAAGAAATTCTAGAAAATATAAAAATATTGCAGGTGTGCCGCGGTGTACTGTTGATAATACGTTAATATAATAAAAAATATATACATGCAATAAGTAGATATACATATACCGTTTACATAATAATATAATATGAAATAACTACTTATATAGGTAGTTATGTTTATCAAATGATTTATATACCAATATACAATACTTACATACTAATATTCTTACATACTTATAATAAATCAAAAGTATGGAAATGATAAATGATAAATTGAATGAAAGCTAAATGAAATACGCTTTTAAGCTTTAAGCCACATTTTTATAATTGTTGAACTAACATCAAACTCTAATGCGAATACAAATTTTTAAACTTAATCTTTCGATTATTGATAGATTAAAATTAAATTAAATAGATTGATAGTCAATCTAATAGAAGCCTATTACTGAAGAAATAAAATCTAATAAACAGGCATAACTACAGCCATGAAGACTCTGTTACTCTGCAGTCTATGACATTGGGATTTTCTGACCGGCACGTAAACTGTCAAGTTCTACGTATTCTCTTAAATTTTGTTGATTTAGTGTTTCATTCATTCATTTCATTAGGATACGCTGACATAGCATCTCAGGGCTCTTCAGGTTTTAATGTGTAATAACGGTGGTTTATTAACTGTTTAGTATCTGCAAAAGTGCACAAATGTGGGAAAATGAAACAAAACCGCTGAACGTAACTTCTCGGGATCCTCCAAATAGTCCACCGAAAAAGTATCAGTAAATGACCACCATTTTACTGATATTACATTTCATCCCATATCACCTCATCTCACTTCCTTTCATGCCATGTTTCATATTAATCAACTTCATTTCATTTCTTAATATAATTTTTTTTATAAAATGTTTACATTAAAATTAAAATAAGATTTGACCTAAAGGTTTTAGTTACCAGATCATGAAATCCTTAAAAAAAATATCTAGTAGACGTGAAATATGGAGGGTAGAGATAAGGAGAACTCTGGAGAAACGTCTCATATATGTGAGAAGCTTGAAAAAGTGTTCCACTTTCAGCACTAAATAACATTTAAAAAATCCTCCAGAATGGAGCTAACATAGGCACAGGGTGTGATATGAATTGAGCAGTTGTTGGCTGATTGGAGTATGCCGAGTTAGGAAATTTAATATATTTAATGACTAGAGTTAGTGACAGTGTAATAAACAAGACCTCACATGTTTGCGTAGTCCCTTCGATCAACAATAGTTACTATTGTTGATCGAAGCGTAGTCCTAACTAATTTCGTCAATATAACCTAAAATGATTGCTGTGGTAAAACGTGGAGACATCAATTGCATTTTCTTATCAGCTTTAAATAAAATACTTTTTGTAATTTTGTATTGCTTACAGTTCTTTCATCCTTTTTTATTTCTCTATCTTATTCTAATAACTTTCAGCGCCTTTTTTTAAATTTACCCGGTTGCTACTATAGCGCCACCCTTATTTAGCAGATTTTAACGGACACTTTTTCACACACTTGACCAAGAAATGAAATAATAAATAGTACGGTATGGTATAAAACTAGGTAAGTACGGTACCTACCTATTTCTCATACTTAAGTACATAAATCTTTTTTGGGGTTGAATTTTTAAGAAATGACTTTAAAAATTATTTTTTCGCTTTAAATATGTAGGTAAGGAAATAACTATACTTAGCGTTTGTTTTTTCTTACAGAGTACACATGAATTAAATATTATTCTTCATTTTGCATCAATTTCTTCGAAATCATGGTCAAGGAAAGGCGATCGAAACTGATTTCATAAGTTGAACTAGCTTCAGAGCGAATTTTCAAACGGAATCAATTGAGTTGTTCTTTTAAGCCCATTGAGACACAGCTTACTTATTTTTTACACTTACAATTTTTTTATGTTACTGCATGGCTTATTTTTTCGTGGAGGCATTTAGTGATCCTCTGTAAAGTACAACATCCGGACTTTTTGGCGGGAACGCGAGGAGTGAAGTTGTGTGATTGTTTTATTTTGTCTATTTAGTGTTTCTTCGGGTTTAAATGTGTAATAATGGTGGTTTATTAACTGTTTAATATCTGTGAAAGTGCACAAATGTGGGAAAATGAAACAAAGCCGCTGCGCTGGACGCAACTTCTCGAGATCCTCCAAATAGTCCACCGCAAAAGTTTCAGTAAATGACCACCATTTTACTGATATTACATTTCATCCCATTTCATTTCATTTAATTTCATCCCAGTTGATTAATGTTTCAAATTAATCATCTTCCTTTCATTACACTCCATAATATCATTTTTCATAAAAATATTAATATAAATTAAAATAAGAACTGACTTAAAGGTCTCAGTTACCAGGTCATAAAATCTCTTAAAAAAAAAAGTACAACATCCTTCAGTATTTTAAACCAGAAAGTTGTTGCAACATTTGTAATGACATTTTTTTTATTGTATAAATGAGTGGACGAGCTCACAGCCCACCTTGCGTTAAGTGGTTACTGGAGCCCATAGATATCTACAACGTAAATGCGCCACCCACCTTGAGACATAAGTTATAAGGCCTCAAGTATAGTTACAATGGCTGCCTCGCCCTTCAAACCGAAACGCATTACTGCTTCACGGCAGAAAAAAAAGTAGAGTGATGGTACTTACCCGCGCGGACTCACAAGAGGTCCTACCACTATATTGGGTTGCCTTAACCAGTGTCAGTATTATGTGAACTACTACTTTTTTTACTTTAATAGTGTTTGAAAGTTTCCTTTTTATCAGGTGTTTAACACCACACTTTTTTCGTAGTTTCCAGAAAATTGAAAACAATGAAGTATATTAAATTGAAAACAAAAGAATGTATAGCTTCAAAATTATTGATTAATCTACAATGAGTTATGAGTAGGCTTTGTTTCACTTATTGTCTTCCTGGCTACACCCATGATTGACATAGCTGCTAAAGAAAGTTCCGACAGCTATTGTCAACAGATCTGGTATAATACGTATATATTAATATACAATGACTTATGGGCAATATATGCATTTCAAATCTTAGCTTAAAGAGTAAAATAATGTGTCAAAATAAAACATCTGATATCATTGCATATTATTCTTTTTTATTTTTTTTTCATCAGTTTAAATGGAAAATACAATTTCATTTATTTATAATGTTGTCATTTATTTTATGTAAACAAATATATTATAAAAGATTTACATATTACTATCAAAACAAAATATTCACAAAATGGCAGACTAACTAAACAATTACTTAGCTGTTCATCAAGCATGCTAACAANACATCTGATATCATTGCATATTATTCTTTTTTATTTTTTTTTCATCAGTTTAAATGGAAAATACAATTTCATTTATTTATAATGTTGTCATTTATTTTATGTAAACAAATATATTATAAAAGATTTACATATTACTATCAAAACAAAATATTCACAAAATGGCAGACTAACTAAACAATTACTTAGCTGTTCATCAAGCATGCTAACAATTGCATCATTTTGAGCTAAACAAGAAAGAAAGTTTGGCACTGATCCCATTTTTAATTCAATTTAACGTGAAGATGGCGTAAATGCATATTGCAGCAACACTATCAGTTTTGTCCTGCGAGTTAGTCTGTTTATCCAGATTTTGAATAGGTACCTTTTATAATGATACTTCACAACCTCTCTTCAGCTCATGTTTATTGCATGTTCTAATACTGACTACCTTAGATTTACACTTTCACATAATCACGGAGCAGACGTCTTGCGTATGCACTATACATTGCCTAGAAATATTAAGGGCAACGCCAAAGAGAGCCTAAAATCTGACTATTGTTTTTGTGGTAACTTGAGAGTTAAATAAACTAATCTGCTGCCTCAATCAAAATCAAAATTTAAGATGACTTAATTAAAGAAAAAAAAAAACAACAAACGCTGGCTTCTTTCATAACAATACAGAATCCATTGAATGGATAAAATTAACTCAAAACATTCAAACAAATCAATCAAATTAAAAAGTACCTCTTCACTTTTCTGCATTACCCTGCCTTAACAAAATCATACTATACACTTAGATAGATGACAAACAAAAAGCAATGGAAGAGGGCATGAGCAAAGGAAATCACAAATGTAATATACAATTCAGAAACATTTCAACACTGTAAAATTGCTTTCTAATATGTATATATATGTATGCTTATAAAATTGCAAACGTACAGCGAGACTATTCGCTTAACCTACACGAGTGCTTTTATAGTAGCAAAAATTTTAGGTCCCTTTCCACTGATACATGAAATGCCGAAAAGAAAAGTATAATTCATAAATTGTACCTATACTTTGTATATATTCTAAATTTTTTTTTTACATTTTAATAATTTAAAAACAACCAGTACTTGGTCGAAATATTTTTTTTTGTGTATTTTATATTTTGATGAATATTAAAAGCTAATTAACGTGAGCCGATGTCAGGATTCATAGCTAGTCGT